TATCTCATATTGTTGCATTAGTTCCATACAATAATTGTGGTATATGTGAATGTTTGTTCAAAATATATATAGTATGGCGTATTTGTAACTTTGAAGGAAATTACAATCAAGATATATTTATTTATCAACGGGCTTATAGTTTTGATGAAATTGTTGGAAACATCGATTTAATAACATGTTATGAATCATGTAAGAAGAGTTCCTGAAGAACTTATATACGACGTATTTAAATACCCAGTCCAACAAATTTTTGAATATTACAATTATCAAACTCTTGAAAATTTTTATGTGACTATGTCATTGGCATCTCAACCTGAAGTTTGAGTATATAAGAGTTAGTGAGATTTCTAAATAAACGGGATACTTATGCGTGAGACAGTTTCCTTATGGTCTAGAAGAACCATGATCAATGTATATAATTATATATGTTATATTATAATTCATATGAAATTGAAGAATGACATTAATAATTTCAAGTTTTATCATCAAATAATTATTAATGAATGTTTGATCAAATAATGATCATCATATTATTAACAACTTCCTGAAGAAGTCATAAGCGCGTAAGTTTAATTTTTAAATCAACCTGAAGAAGTCATAATCACATAATTTTAATTTTTAAATCAACCATTACACAGAGATTTGAAGTAATGATATTAGAGATATACACATGTATGGTGAAATGAAGACACTTCACATGTTCACGTGAAGACTTGAAGAATTGAAGATGCAACTTCAGCTTAGGAGAATCGAAGATCAATGTATGATATTTTACTTACTACATATGAGAAGATATCCAAACATATTGGATTCATTGTTGCAGCACTAGAAGATCTCAAGTTATGTATTCATCAGGGGGAAAAAATATGCGCTGCACTCTTTTTCCCTTGACCATGGTTTTGTCCCACATTGGGTTTTCCTGGTAAGGTTTTTAATGAGACAGCATCTCGAGCATATTACGAAGAATGAGTATTCTTTTTCCTTCACTTTGTTTTTATCCCGCAGGATTTTTCATAGTAAGGTTTTAATGAGCCACAATCTTCGATAATGGACATCCAAGGGGGAGTGTTATGAAAATATTGTGCGAATATCCATTATCCTCTTTGTATGTTTCCGGAATATTATAGATTAAGGGTTTATTGTTATCTAAGCAAACCCTACTTATTATATTCTATATATATATACCCCTATTATATGGAATAACATAGACAGATTAATTCTCTCTCAATTTCTCACATTTCTCCCTATTTTATAACAATTTCTTTATTTTGTAGAGGAAAATATTTTTCACCAGTAAGGATACAATTTTTCATTTTAGAGAAAATTGTTTTCCATCCAAAAAAAATTTGGATTTATCATGTTTCTTAAAATTTTACATCAATTTAATTATATAAGGCCTTAATTTTATAAACTATTAACGGATGGAATACTATAAATTTATATCTACGTACTTAAAAGCGTCCCTAAAATGTTTATGTGCCACTTGACATTCTCCTCTGTTTTTTTTAAATAATGTTTTTAAAATTTGGTTTGTATAGGATTTATACTCACAACTTCATGTTTAATTAAGTAGTAAATCACCAATACACGTATTAAATGTTATTCTATCAAAAGTTTTTTTTTTTTTTGGTGTTCTATCCGGTTCACCCTTTGAGTTAATTCGGATTCAGGGATCAATGATAGGTGGTTAGGTTCCACTCCCCTCCCATTTGTTGTTGTGGGGGATCGAACATTGGTCCCAGGGGCAGAACATTATCTTAATTACTATGTTGTCACTGTAGCTCAGTTGGTAAGATGAGCTTTACATGGTGATAGAGGTCTCAAGTTTGACCCCCACTTTGGGCATACTTTTTCTCCCTTCATTTTTTTTTTGGGGTTTTTCTATATAGTAACCCTGTTTTTTTCACTTTTCTACGTTGTGCCCTAACATATATCACTTTTTACACTGTAACCCCAATATAAATTTTGTTTCCATACGGTAACCTTGTTATTATACTTCCGTTAAAAAATTCCGTTAGTGGGGCCCACTCTCCATTATTAGTATTTTTTTATCAATTTGCGCGTTGAAAAATATTCCGTCTAAGGTTTCGAGGGCTATTTTGATTCTTAGGGGACCAAATTGAGCTTAGATTTGGCCAAAAAATAATGTAAATGCCTCGTTTTGCTTATTAAGAAATGTCTCGATTTACGTGTTCACATTTTAACACACAAAACGAGGCATTTACGTTTTTCTTTTTCCAAATCTGAGCTCAATTTGGACCCTTAAGGGCCAAAATAGCCCTCGAAACCTTTGACGGAATATTTTTTAACGCGCAAATCGATAAAAAAATATTAATAATGGAAAGTGGGCCCCACTAACGGAATTTTTTAACGGCAAGATAACGGCAAGGTTACCATATGGAAACAAAAAATATATTGGGGTTACAGTGTAGAAAGTAATATATGTTGGGGCACAACGTAGGAAAGTGAAAAAAACAGGGTTACTATATAGAAAAACCCTTTTTTTTTTTTTGGTTCATAACTTTTTTTGGGTTAACTTTATCTAGTCTTGGCCCCTTTAGATTTTTATTTCTGGCTTCGCCCCTGACTGGTTCTCCTTGTCAAGTGTAGTCTCAATCACCATTACACCAACAACCAATTTGTATTCTATCAAAAGTAATAAATAAGGATATGAATCATGTGTTCATGACATTAATGCAATAACTCTATACATTGTCGAGTCCAAACACTAGCCATGTATATATATTTTCCTAGCTTTTGAAAAAAAATCTCAAATAAAACGAACCTTCACCATGTAATACCGTTTAGTACACTAGTAGAAGTCGATCTCGATTATCATTTATAGACATTTAGGTGAAAGGTGAAAGACAGAAAGAGACATAGACCAGTAAGACCACCAACATAGAAGAAAGTCATTTATACATCATTGCTTCATATAATAGTTATCTACTTATCTCTAATAATGCTCACTTTATCAGGGATAACAACGTTGCAAAAGAAGCCTTTTTGTGATCTACAAAAAGGATGAATGAAAACACTCGCTAGCTTTATCGACAAGCAAACATTTCTTGCATCATTCACTACCTTACACATCAATATCAACTTGTCTATTTTACATTTGGTTAGTTGTCGATCTATGCACGATACATTCTTAGTTTTTACTCATTTAAAAGGCTAGATCTCTTGCGGTTTTGTTGGGTTGATCTTGGCTATGTTTGTTATATTTGATAACAATACACTAGTATGATCATACACCATAACTCTTTCTTTTAAATGTAGAGATCACTCATTTAAAAGCTTATATATATATATATATATATATATATATATATATATATATATATATATACATATATATATATATATATATACATATATATATATATACATATATATATATATATATACATATATATATATATATATATATATACGGCTTCAACATGAACATTTATTTTATAAGAATGAATATCATACTGCATGAAAATGAACATTTGATTATTGAGAAATACAAAATTATTGTAAAATATACTTCGTATTTGTTAGAAAATGTTCATTTTTATTATAGTAAATGTTCATTTTTATGGCAATCTCATAAATACGTAGCTTAGAGCAAGTTTAGTCCCAAGTCATCATCTTGTGTCTTAACACTTATATCTAAGACTTCTCCCATTTTTCTTCTTAAATCTTAAGCAAGTCTCAAGTTGAGTATTGAAATTCCAATACCCATCTTAAGACTTGAGATTGAGACCCACCTCAATTTTATATTTATTATATTTGAGTCTTAGGGATAAAGTGATAAATTTGGACAAGTTATAGTGAGTCTTAACTAGAATTTAATGACATCATTTTCAATGGGGACCACAAAAAATGATGTCACATCCAAGTGTTAAGACTTGGGCTAAACTTGCTCTAACTACTATTAGCTATTAACAACAGAGTAATTTATTGAGTTGCATCTATTCAAAAAAAAATATTATTGAGTTGCATCTATTCAAAAAAAAAAATTATTGAGTTGCATAGCTAGTTTGGGCTTGATTGCTTAAAGATTGAGATAGGCCCAAATGTTTAACAAAAAATGGATTTGGACTTGTCAAATTGTTAAGGCATTTCAATAGAGTTTATTTTCATCAAATCTTTAATAAAATAGAATTTTTTTTATTTTTTTTTTATTTTTTTTTATTTTTTATTTTTTGTTTTTTGGCTAAAGGATCTAGCTAAATTATTAGTCTGATATATCCCATATCCCCAAATGGCCATAATACATTGAATTTTCCTTTTAATCAAGAACCTTTTCAAAGAATATCCCATATGACCATACTCATCATGTTAAAACATTGCTACGTTCCTGCCATTAATCAAGAACCTTTTCATGATGTTTCAAAAAAAAAAAAAAAAAAAAAAAAGAACCTTTTCATGAAATACATAATTCAACATATAAAATACAACCTACACCAGATATGGTCTCCTTGTTACTAGTTCAAATTACACTATCAACTTGACAATTAATCTCGAACAAAGGGAGCACACAAACAGATAAGTGTAACAAACAGAACGACAAAACAGAAAGATCATAATGTAGAAATCAACTACTATATAGTATATACATAGCATGTGATTGGTTCTGAAGGTCAATAGCTAGTATTAGTAACTCTTACAACCTTCACCTTCTGTTGATCCATTCCTGTACTTGGAATAGCAGATATAACAGTAAGACCCTACCATACTCATTAATAAAAATTGTTGCAGAAAAGACAATGACTATTAACAAAAAAGTTCGAATTTTTTAAAAATTTGTTTCATTTTACAATTAAGGAAACAATAGCCTAAGAATTTGTTTGTTTCTTTACAACTCATCAGTTTCTGATAAGGAAAATTAATTACATTCTAACAGTAGTATAGTATAACATTTAAGCCTTTGAAAATGACTTCATAGTATAAAGGGTTAATTGTTGCTTGATTCATCACTCTTTTTAATTTAATTTTTTGGCAACCAAACAAGGCACTTAGGTATGTACCAATGTACCATACATACAATTCTGTTAGATAAGTCATTAAAACACCATGTTAACTTTTTGTTCACTAGTATTCCATTATTATTCTATTTTACAAATACAATATAGAATATAGAATAAGGTGAAATAAGCAACAATAAAGAGTACGAGTACAAGTACAAGTATATGAGTAAGAGTAAGGTGAGGATGGGGAGAGGGTTTATGTGCCAGTCATCGGCATCCACAGCTGTAGGGTGTATGCCGGATGATATGAGGTCCGTGATCGTGCCATGTAAGAGTAATAATGGGCGGATTGGTAATAGTGCTAGGTATTCTAGGCTTGTTGATGATTCATCTGAAAAAGAAAGGTTGTTAGTAAAGGGTAGTAAAAGAAGAGAGAATTTGTTGCCATTGAATGATAGAAATAAGGTTAAAGCTAAAGGTGATCATAAATCATCAGTTTCTGACCAACAACGAAAGGCTAAGTCATTGCAAAACTGTTCTTCTGGTGCAACTCACTTATATCAGGTTAGAGTTCTAGACTTCTAGCTTTTCTTAAGATAATTTTTTAAACTTTTCTTTTGCAATTTTAGTTTTTTTTTTTTTCTATTTTTTTAATTATTAAATGTAGAATGCTAATTATATTCTTCATGTTAAATGTATAAAATTTTGTACGTTCTTTTAAAGATGGAAAAACTATAAACTTTACATTATATTATTATTCACACACTATAAAATCTTTATTTTTAATTAGTTTCTCATGAGAATTGAAGAAGCATAGTCATGACTGCATGTTGGTTAGATTTATTATTTGTATGTCTTAATTTGATATTTTTAAAAATCAAAATTTTATAATATATATCTAGTTAATTTTTGATAATTAAAATGGTTAAGGGTTGAAGTTGAAAATCGTGAAAATTAAAATGTTTAATCTGATAAAAAACAAAGAATATATTTATCTAAGGAAAAAAAAAAAGAAACTGTTTTTATTTTATACAAGTAATGTAGAATTACCTAGAAACTAAACAACCTTTTTTTTTAATTTATATTTTCTTAACTAATATTTTCAGAGAACTCACTTACTTCGTATTAATTAAGATTGGACTTCACAAATCAATTTCTAGGTTGTGATGTCCTTATTTAGTTGATTATCTACATTCTAGAGGGTATTTTGCAATGAATAGTATGATGATTTGAAATTTAATAGCAATGCCTTGCCTATTATTCTTTTCATATAACATGGACACAAGGGTTTTTTTATTTATTTATTTTTTCATCTCTGATTTTGTTAAACCAAAAATTAAACAAAGGTGGAACTACATGGTTTAAAAATTAAATAAAAACTCAATTAATATTAAAAAGTAATTAAGGAATCAAAAAATTTGAAACTGACAATTTATAGAATTGGCAATCTTACTTGTACATCATTCTTATTCTTATTTAGTAAATTACCTATTAAGTAGTCAGAGTAATAATAAACATTGTAATTGCATTACTAGTCCTCCAGGAAATTAGAATTTGTTATATACACCCGAATGTACCGTACACCCGGAGTCATTTGCTCATTTAATCAACAAATAAATAAATAATATTTTTAGTCGTTTATTGGTGAATTGAATGGGCAAATGACCCGAGTGTACATAATAGACTCTCCAAAGAAATCCATGGTTCTTTTTTCATGTTGTTTAACTAGGGTCAATATATTCTTACTAATATTTTTAATTTAAACAATAGATAACATTAAATATAATATACAAGTAGTTCAGTAGTAAATAATTTAGTATATCTATTACATTTTAATAGTGTTTCATGTTCTTAAAAAGAAATCGAGAAAAAATTCATACGTATATGTTGTTACAAAAGAATACAACCACACTCACTCAGTCACACATCATTGCACTGTTCAAATTTGGTAACATTCACTTGTAGCGTTTTTGAATAAACATACCAATGGTCGTGAATGATAATGTTAGAGTATATTGATAAACATCAATATATTCTGTATGGTATTACAATTTCTGTGCAAATTTCGAAAATTAACTATTAATGTTAACATCAATTATTTTAACGTTTTGTCATGAATTTTAATATTAAGTCCAATAATGCTGGTCCTAAAATCCTAATGAAAGTAATATGGAAACAGGTGGTGGTCCTAAGAGTGTCGCTCCATTGTCAAGGTTGTGCTGGTAAAGTCAAGAAACATTTATCAAAGATGGAAGGTATTTTGCTTAAACCTATTGGATAAATAATCACTTACTCAAACCTTGGTTTTTACCCACCTTTTTTACTCTAAATTTGTACTACTTGTTTTTGCATCACTTTGATATTTGTATTTTACTCTCATTTTGTTATTAATACTCCCTCTATCCCTTAATACAATGCCTCTTTTTCTTTATTATATAAGGAATAAATGCTCAAAAGAGGCATTGTATTAAGGGATAGAGGGAGTATTCTGTAAATAGGTTATTGGATTTGCATATTTTCATGATATCAATCTTTTATCTCTCTCGTCAATTATCAAATCAATAGATGACAATAAGAAATATTTGGTCAAAATTGTGAATTGACATGTGTATTAGTCAAAGTGATGCAATTAATTAATATTCTTGAGCAATGGGAATTGGAATGTTCTTTACTTTGATCACTTGTTTTTATTCTCTAAATCCACAAACGTACAATACTAATTGATGTTTGGGTAATGTTATATGTAGCCCTAAGGGTTATATATAAGCATTAAATATACTCTTGGAAATTGTATAAAATTAGGAATTCATGAGAAAAACACGTGTAAATCAGTGTTATTAATGTTTATATTTTGATGATTTCTTGACTTTTTATGATTTTCAAGTGTAAATTTAATGCTTATATGTAGCCCTATGGGCTATGTATAACATTTTCCTTTTATTATTTCATGGTTTTTCTTTAGCTAAGCACTTTGAAAATTGCACTATTTTACACTACATTTTAATTTGTTTCATCTAAATAAAATAAAGACATTATGTTTTCATAGTCTTATTAAATTTATCTCAATTTGTACTTTTCAAATACCACTATTTATTATTTTACACATCAATAATTGAACATATTAACAATTGAATATATGCATTAGTAAGCGTGATAAATGACATGTTTCCTTTAAAAAAGGATTGCATTTAGATTATGACTTTTTTTTTTGGTGTTTAGAGAGCCACAAGGGCGGGGTGAGAATCGATCCCAGGATCTCCTAGAATCGGGAGAGAAACTCTAACCACTTGAGCTATCCCTCACTCTCGATTATGACTTTTATTTTATATAAAATCTAAAGTAAACTTTTGAAAATATCGACTTATACATTATAACAGTCACATATTTAAATATTTTCTCCCTTATGCTTCCTTAGAGCTTCGCCTAGAAAGTCCTCCCCTGATTTTTTATCATTTTCTATACGCAAGTCAACTTCCTTAGTCACAAAAAGCTGCCTCTTCCCTTTAGTAATTTGCTCCAGCTCCTGTGCCTCCTTTGCTCTCCCCTTTCTAGGTGAGGCTCTAAGGAAACATGAGAGAGAAAATATTTAAATATGTGACTGTTATAATGTGCTCAAAAGTTTACTTTAGATTTTATATAAAATAAAAGTCATAATCTAAATGCAATCCTTTTTTTAATGTAATAATATTTTTTTAGAAAGTAATTTTGGCGGGAATTTTTTTAATAACACATTGACAAGTGTCCTCTTAGATTCGCTTTTAGTAGTATGTAATTGATGATTGATTATTAGATTAGCTCCCGTGCGATGCCCCGAATATATAAATAGAAATTATAATTGTGTACATTTTCAAGTCATATTATCACTCAAAATATGTAAAATATTTGTATTAACATAAAATCACACAAATTAAAATAATATAAACAAAAATATACATATCTACAATAAAATTTAGCGGACTTTGTAATTAGACAGAGTAATCACATATATACAGGGTTAATATTTGTTTTCCTTAAAATTAGCTATATATACCTTTAGATAATGTACAATATAAAAATAATTTGTAGTCAATATTTAGATTTTACCAAAAAAAAAATAATAATAAAAAAATACAAAAATAAAAAGAAGAAAAAGTTTTGGCGGGAAAAATTTGAAAGAGAAACTAACACATGTACAATTTGAGGAAATGACTTATGTCAGCGGTTGTTATTTTAGTATTAGTTATATATTATAGATAGATAGCAAGACTCTTAGAATGTTATGTATTTTCACGACAATAATAAGGGTTTCCACAACCGTTTTTCCACCGCCTAATCCTTCTAGAATTGCATTATTTTATGACAAAAATAACAATGGTAGTACTCGATGAGTTGATTTAATTATTTTTCTTTATCATTTAATAAATAATGTAACCACAGTTTGGATGTAAATTTTTTAACCAAAAACATGTTATTTCAAATTAATTTTATTTAGTACATATTATGATCGATTAATCTCAAAAGAGGACCTATCCTATCTTGACATATACTCCGATGTTGTTGAACTTAAATTATTATTATTTCATCCTCATACAATTTTTAATTTACCACGATGTCATTTTCAAAATAGAGCTTATTTAATTTTATCATCATGTTACGTGTTAATAGAACCATATGACATTAATTGTACTTTATTATCTTATTAATTTAACTTTAAGAAATCCCAAATCACAAAGGACATGTATTTTATACCGTGATGCTTACACCTATTAAATAAACTATGAGTTTTTACCTCATGTTTGTTTATTGTATCACATGAATCTAACAATATATTATCGATATTATTGATTTTCAAACAACTTAAATTTGATGTTGGTGATTAGCAGGGGTTACATCATTCAACATAGACTTGGAAACAAAAAGGGTTACAGTTATGGGAAATTTATCGCCTACAAGAGTCCTTGAGAACATCTCCAAGATTAAGAGGGCAGAACTTTGGACATGTTAAATCAAGAAGCCGAGATATTTCTCATTATTTTTGAGTTTTGTTTAGCTAGCATAACTTTTTCCGATTTAAAATTCAATGTCTGTTTTTTTTTTTATTATTATTATTTTTTTAATTATCTTAATAGCTTAGTCCTCCCTTCAAAGAAATAAAAAAAATAAAATAAAAAAAGCTTAGTCCTTATCTATTTTTGTCTACTACGTTACGATGCTAATTTATCATTACTCCATTTTTTTATTATTATTTTTACTTATTTCAATTTCTTATATATTTTTTCCTCTGTTCTTTTTTACTTGACCTGTTTCTTTTATCACGCTTGTCAATGCAAAACTTTAACGGTTAATAACTTTAATTCTCCATAATTAAAAAATATAAAAGTTATATATTATGATAGTACTTATTGAGACGAATTCAAAATGATCCAACATAAATATGTTTTTCCTTATATATTATTCACAAAACACGGTCAAAGGAGGGGTAGTGAATAGTGTAAAAGTCAAAACGGGTCAAGTAAAAAAGAACGGAGGAAGTATATATTAGCAACACACATTTTTCTTCATAACTTTTAAAACAAGTGGCACTAAGAAAGCTTCACATGATGAATTAACAAACTTCAATTACACGATCTAATTATCCATCTCGCACCATAATCCCATCCATGTCCATTAAAAGTATTCATATGAATTAAACAATAATAAAGAAAGCTACACTAAGAAAGCTTGTTAATGAATCATCAACTTATTTTTACAGGAATAAGTGGCACTAAGAAAGCTTCACAATGAATCAACAACTTATTTTTACAAGAATAATAATGAACAAAGTGTTGTAAAATAAGATGTATTTCAAGGCTACACTAAGAAGTAAACAATAAGATCGAAAAGATGATCTTAGACAATGGAAAGAGTGCGGTGTGTCGTGAAGCAAATTCATTGACTTGAAAAAACGAAATTCCGGCGCAACCAGAGTGCACAATTGTATTTGTCGGCACGTTCCCTAAGGTTAACACAACCACTTCCACACAAAGGCACTTTTGAGTGGAAGGTTGGAGCCAAATAACTTATGCCCAATAAAGAGTATGTGTTTAAGCAAGCATACATTTGATATGTATTTCTTGTGTATTTGATCAGAAAAATAACCACCAATTTATAAAGAAGATTGAAGAAGATGGAAGATCAAGGAGGAATCTCTTTAATCAATAAGAAAATAAATTAGAATAATCATGGTGATTAAAACACCATAATCAACCTCTTAAATGAGGGGTTACAAGAAACTAACCAAGAATTTTCCAGACACTCCCTTTTTCCAGACGTCTTCTCGCGCCCGGTCGGGCGGGTGGCGGAACTCTAGAATTTTACGACTCTTCTCGCGCCCGATCGGGCGCCCATATCTGACTCTTTGAATTTCCTTTCTTTATTTCCAAAAATCCCCCACTAAAGGAAGGAAAGAAAAGCCAACGAAAGATGAGGATAAGCAACATATTGGGCATAAGAGGAGATCAATACATAACACATAGATATTACATAAGTAATTTGAAATATAGTGCTTAGTGAAATGAGGCAATGAACTACAAGTCTAAGGGTGGACAAACCTTGAAACTCTTAAGACTCTTGCATGATCATGGAGTGAACGAACCTTGAAACTCCAAGATTTAGTGCAAGACCCCCACAACGCATACATCACTCCAAAAATTTACTTGAACTCCGCGACGAGATATGCTATTTTATATCTAAGCATATTTACCTTAGGTCTAGTGAAAGATCTAGGAAATCCGCCCAAGTTTTCCATGGAAGATGGCTAGTCTTCACAACAACATAGGTGAATCACAAGCACTTAGTCAATGGGGTTAAAACATGTTCCTAAGAACTTTAACAAATGCTACATTGTAGCCATTAACCCCCACAAGACCATGGATTCATTAAGAGCTTAATGCTCAACCTCACAACAATCATAAACAACGGTGATTCAAAGTTTCAGTGCGTTCACTCAAGCATTTGGATTCATTAAGAGTCAATGGACTCAATCTCAAAAGGTAGATCAATCAAGTGCATCTCAAATGGCACCAACATAAATGGTTTATTGATCCATGAAGAACTCAAAAGAGCTCGATCTCAATCAAGCATTATAACACATGCCATAGGGATAAGAAAGTAATGCTTTTAATCTTTCCACATGGGCTTAAGGCCTATCCCTTTCAACATGTCCACAAGTTATCAAGGATTGTTACACGTTCAAATTAAAATTTCCTTACCATAGTGCTAAATTATTTTTGTTAGAATACTTTTCCAATAAGGAAAACTAGCATGTTACCAATATCAATTTAATTCGCACAAATGGTTAGAAAACATGCCACATTCACCGTTTGATGAATAAAGTAACAAGACAACCCAAAATTTGAAATTTCAAAACATAATCAAGTCTCCTAGAAGATAACATAGCCGCATTAGTGAATTTTCTTCATCAACCATCAATCACCAATACTTGCCTTCTGGAAATTTTGAACAACTTTTCCTGAAAGTTAGTGTATTATTTCACAACCTTCGTATCTAAAAAGATACTTATTAAAAGATGAAACAAGTTTAAACAACGTTAGTCATTCACTATTAAATTTGTAAAATATTACACTTCAACTATTTCACAAATATATGCTATATTAAGATAAAATGCAATGTATGTCACTATCACATTGCTAAACACATTAGCATACTCCACTCAAGACATACTTTATAACCTCCTTAAAGTACACATAATTCATGCTAAAATATATTCCATTCAAATGATGACATGAACAACAAATATATATCAAATCATCGCAAAAATCTTTCCAATCACGAAACATGTATGACACTTTGGAAATAACCAAAAACTCATAATGATACTATTTTTCTCAAAATAATAAAACATATTTTCATAATTTAAATCGTGAAAATTGCTCAACAAAATTGGAAAGATAAGAAGTTCAAGAAAGTTGTTAACTATAAATCACATGTGATTCTCAACACCACCACATTACTCACATTGTAGACATACAACAAATAATATATTACCTTGAAGGAAGTAATGAGAAGCAAACTTAATCACAAGTATTAGATCCTCACAAGATACCAACCAAATTCTTGTACCACTTTCTAGGTAATAAACTTAAGTCAACTCACACTTGAACTTTCAGCTCACATTTCTTTTCGACATGGAACTCTCCAATTAATTTACATAGGTCACCACTTAGAAGGCTTAACAAACTTCAACCACTAGAAGGAAACTTATCATCAAGAACAAGGATCCAAAATAAATAAGTCATCTAAGTAAGACCTATATTGTTCCAATGTTCCATTAAGACAAGAAAACCAAAGTAACCTTTACTCACAAGTTTAGCCTTGAACACTTCCAACAACACTTAGTGAATTGACATTGGATAAACTTTGGAAGAAATATATAGAAACATACTTCATAAAAAGATTGGAGAACTCTAAGCATGCATGTTAGAAATAATATAACTTAACCTCAATAGTTTCTTCCAAAGTAAACAATCACTCACATCATCAATTCAATAAGTTAAGAAAACACTCTTCAAACATAGAGGTATCAAGACAACAAATCAAGACAAATAAATAATAATCTTTAGCATAACTAGTCACTTTCATGCTTTGCATCAAATAATAGAAAGACCTAATATTAATGCCTCATATTCCTCTTGTAATCAACTTGTTCACTAATAAACAAAATAAATACACGGAAGAAAATATAACAATCAAGAGACATGAGAAATACAATATGCGGACCTTGCCCGATCAGGCGGCGGAACTCCAAAATTTTACGACTCTTCTTGCACCCGGTCGGGCGATGCCCGCTCGATCAATCGAGCGCCCATGTCTGACCTTTTAAAGTTCCTTTCTTTATTTCCAACACAAAGAACCCTTTTTTGGGCTAAGATATCTTTACTTTCTCCCATATTATACCCTTATTCAACGTGATTGTGCACAATTGAGTGATTTAGCTACAATGATGGTTGAAGCTCACGACATAAGGGAGAATAGAGATGAAAAATTATTATTTGAGGGTTAACAATGAATTTGCAGGAAAAAAATGGGGTGTAATGGGGGTACTTAACCGTAAGCATGATTAGAGTTAATTAATTTCTAAAGTAATAATTAATTAAAAATTCAATTAAAAAATCAGTTTTAGAAATTTTATTTATAAAATTATAATTTTTTTTTTACATAAAATCAAAAAATTTAATTTAAATCACTAATATCGACAATAGGATATGAAGATTCCAACATTAACTCAGGCTACGAGAAACCTGAATGATACCATTTTTTAACACCCTTTAAATTTGAAACTTTTAAATTAATCAAATTAATATTTTATTTGAAAATAAAATAATTGACTAGGTTCGTGTTTTTTAGTAGCTAATAAGGCTATTAAGTTTGTATATAAAGGCAATTAAATTTGTATTTATGTAGAAGGACACTACAAGGAGAAAATTTTGGAGGTTTTTAAGCGATAAGACTATTAAGTTCTTTTTTTGTAGATGGACACTACAAGGAGAAACTTTTGGAGGTTTTTAACTTTAAAAGTATGATGTAATACCCTATAGATTTAAGCATTTTACAAGTTAATTTAATAATTACAATATGTATTTTAAATACCATTAAGTCAATAATATTTATTATTTAAAAAATGGGGAAAACATATATTAAATTCTGATTTAAAATTACATAAGGTTTACTTAGAATATTTTAAGTATGCTTTAGTATATTTTATTATTAAAAAGTAGAGGGGCAAACTTGTCTTTTCATTCATTAATAACACAGTTGTATTTCTAATCAATGAGAAAGATATAAGTACCCCCATCGTATGAAAAATCTCACACTTTTGGACAAATTGATTTCAAAAAGGTAAACCCCCCAACTTTCTCTCCTTTCCTCCTCTTTTCTCATGACTCCCCTTCTACTCTCCTTCACGCATAATCAGCTGACCACCACCAGCATCACTAGTAGCCGCGATCGACTACTGTACGTACCTATCCATCTCCATGACTCCATGTATGCATGTGTGTGTTTTAAAAGAATCCTATTTACTCAATCTAATCAAATTTCAGCTTTTATTATTGATAATTACAAAATGCACATGCATTTTAACCAAATGCACTTATAATCTATTGAAACGAAAAGAACTTAAAAGTAATATGAAAACCACGTGCACTTTGTTCTTTTTGTCGTAAAGATCCCAGCATGTATGATGATGAACATCATCATTGCCATGAACAAAACTACTAATGCCTTA